AATGTACACAGGATGTTTTATAAGAAATCTTTCTCTGCTTATTTCCTCCAACCCACCCACTGCAGCATAAATGTTTCCTTTGACCTACCCGTGATCTCGTCGTGACATGGTGTTTTTACCGTAGCCGCATTGAGAAAAAAAGCTCAGGTCTGTTGCACTGAAGTCCTTCCCTTTTCGCTCATTTGTAAATATGAACGCACCCAGACACAAATAAACATTACATATCCTTATAAACAAACACGCATAGTGGATACTTCTAAGAGCTTGTTTTTGTAAAATGGACCGAAGGACGCGAACTATATACCTGATAATATAATCACACCACCCGTCCACACAGTTGGCTCGCACGTTAATTGCGCATATTGCCAAAAATACAAAGCTCAGGCTTATTAATCATCACATCGCCCCGCATGGAATGCTTTACCTTCATGCTGTATGCTTGGATTGCATCAGATCACCACAGGCCGGTAAGTAAGTCTGCAGAGAAGTCAAATGAATCGCCAAGGACTGAAGACAGTTCAAGATAAATATCATTGAAGACAAGGGCTTCAACAAGTTGCAAAGTTGCAACGTTCGTCATGTTTCTCGGGCCTTCATCAAGATTAACAGCAATGACTAAAATTTTATGAAGATACATTTTTTTAGTTATACTTTTGCACATATTTATCGTGTATTAAAATACAGAACTGATGCTTTTCCATAGATTCAGATTAAACTAGAAAATAATCTGATTCAGATTAAGAAGAAGCTAATCAAGAATCAGGATGTTGAAACTGGTCTACACAAGAACAATATCTGATACAGATAGGTCATTTTGGCTTACACTAAGAAAGATGGATTCTTTTGCTCTTGAGTATTCAGGCGTCTAGCATACCCAGACAGAATAAGAGGCCGTGTACTTCCAAACAAGAGAAGCAGCTTCTCCTCTGCAGTAAAGTATTTCAACATTCTGGGAAAACACTGAAATAGCTGCCATGATGCAACTTCCTGATGATCTCTGCACAGCCTGCACTGAGTCCCAAAGAAATTCTAGGTGCAAACTATGTGTTTTTTCTTCTACACAGTAAGGCTGCAATCTCCCAGCCGATTTTTTTTGATCGATCCGTACTGGGCCAACCAATATTCTGATTGGTTGACTTCTGGTGTTTTTTTTAGACCCAAATAAAAAACTATATATATATAATATACACATATATGTACATATATGTACATATATGTATATATAATATACACATATATGTACATATATATATATATAATATACACATATATGTACATATATATATATATATGTGTATGTGTATATATATATATATATATATATACACATACACATATATATACATATATGTATATACATATATATATATACATATATGTATATATATACATATATACATATATATATATATATATATACATATATATATATATATAGTTTTTTTCTTTGGATGTTAATGGAGGAGTGCTAATGGGGGTGTTTTCAGAGCACCCCGTTGTTTTTAACTATATAGGATTAGCCCAAAAGACAGATTGAATAACATACTAGAATGGTTTGGCCTAATGGTTTGCAAAATATTTATTTAATTTAAGCATTTCGTTTACAGTCAGTCTCCTCTGCCATGTTAAGGACATCAACAGTACTGCAGCGTTTTATAAATATAGATAACGGAAAATAGTTTGCATATCACAGCTCGACCACAAACTTAGCATGTCACCTAAAAACAGTAAGCTTAGTGGTCTGCATCAGGTTGCTCCTGCCCATAAAACAGCAGCATACCTCAGATACATACAGACTACATTGGATTTTAAGCCGGTTCTATCGTCCAAATGTATTTTTGTTGAATTTGCTCTTACGAAATGTATTTTACTCAAAGGCACAATTATTTTGAGCTACTACAAAATGACAGATACTTGGATAAACACAGACGTCCTAAAGAGATAAAGGTTGTCTACTGTTGCAATGATCCGCAACCACTGCATCTGGTCCACTAGCGTACCGTGAGAGATCATTAGGCGTGACATGGAAAACTTCCTAATTTCACTTAAATGGTCAGAAAAATATAATTAATATATATACCGCAAATATCTCTTCATCTATACAACTGTGACAATGCAGGAGAATTAAATACTTTTCTATTAGGTGTCAGCAGATTAAAATATAAAAAAAATTCCTGCAACTATATCAGCGTTGTGTTCAAAAAAACAGACTCGGGTTTCACGCTGGGTAGGTCAATAGTTAGTAAAAATGAAATTAAAACATTATTACATTTTATTAGATATATTTTTGTTGGGTAGTGCACCATAGAATTTCTCATGTAAAACGGCTTAAAAAAAGGAAGGGCAACACTGTAGCACTGTACCTAAAAAAAAAAACACACAAATCCAGTTAAGATTTACAGGAAATCTTATTCACTTTTAATGAATAGCCGCGTTGTTTAAAGTCTCAGCTACTGCGTCACAGAAACTTAAAATAAAAACCTTCAAGTTTTAAGTTTAACAAATCCGGTTTAACAGATCTATATGAAGAGTTGTACTTTTTTTATTATGAATTATTTCATAGCAAGCTGCTTATGTTTACAGCAGGAGTATCTTGACAAAGGGAGTCGGATAATAATGTGTTTGTTCACTTGGGTGGGTGCGCTCTAAAAAAAAGAGTGGAGGAATCTAACAAAATACTGGGAAACCTCCGTAAGATAACCTACACAGACAGTGGAACCTCGGTTTTCGAACTTAATTTGTTCCTGAAGGCCGTTCGTGACCCGAACACTTCAAAAACTGAAACAATTTTCTCCATAGGAATCAATGTAAAATGGATTCATAAATTCCTAGAACCTTTTTCAACAGTGTTTTGTGTACCAAACTTTTTCAACAGTATTTTGTGTACCAGTTCATACGTGAAACCAATGAAAATAATTAGAAAAACACAACTGAATAAAAAATAAATCTATAAATAGGAAAGACAATTTCATTCATCTTTACTGGAGCTGAGGAGTCGTGATGTTCGCTTCGCGTTCTAACAACTTATTTTCTCCGAAATACTGTCGCCGGCCAACTGCTTTTGGTTGATCCAAATCAGTAGTAACTTTTCCACTTCTTCTAAAGTCTGAGATCTTTGCTTGGTGATCACAGTCACTCCTTTGGCAACCTTAGCTTCTTTTATGGCTTCCTTGTTCTTAATGATGGTACAAATCGACAACTTTGCTAAACCATACTGTAAAGCCAGATCTGATCTACAGATCATTACATTTTTTTTTTAAGAATCCATCATAAAATTCCATAATTTAGATTAGTCGCAAACAAAACAAATGTGACATTAAAAAAGATGTTGATTTTTCTGGATTCATGCGTAATTACATTTTCCAGTAATTATACCATCCTGTGATTAATCTGATTTGAACCATTTAATAGCTCTGATATGTATGCATTAATATAGTGTGGTAAGCAGCAATGTGGTATGAAGTAATAACATAAGGAACTCAGTAAAAAAAAAAAAAAGAAAAAAAGAATAACTTCCTTGAATACAGTGACAACAATCTCCAGCCACAGAGGCTACTTCCAGCCTGCGAAAAAAAGTTTTTGTACATTTATTTTCTTTTTTTTTTTTAATTATTAAAATGATCAAGTTCGACATTTAAGAATAGATTTTTGCTTTACTTATATCCAACAAAAAATAACTTTTTTTCAGGAAAACTGAGAAACACTAAGAAAATGCAAAGGGAGAAATAAGTGAAGAGAAAAGCTAAAAAATAAATAAATAAAACACCACTGCCTGTGCCAGGTGCTAAACAGGGCTGTAGCTGTTTGAGCTGTTGTCATACACCAGAAGGAGTGTGGGTTCAATTCCAGACTTGCTAGGCTATATTCTGTCACCCTGGCAGTATTGCAGTTACTGTGTGAAGCACTTAGAGAAGCTTTTTGTAAGCACAGATTATTTACAAACGGACACAGTTGTTACTCAACTGGAAGCAGGAAAGACAACAGAAGGAATGACAACCATTGTGAAATGCTGGGAATAAATTAAGAAAGGAAAGCATCTACTGGGAAGACACACAGAAAGACAAGTTCCATTAAGTAAAAAATATTTCGGGTGTAACTGCTAAGTAAACATAAAAAGCCTTAATGACATTGTGGTCTGCATTAAAATGGTGGTTACCTATAATTTCGAATGTTTGAAAAAAAAACAATTACCAATTAATTATCTTACCTCACTACCTTTTGTCTAGTTTCTAATTTCGATGATGAATATACGGAATACAAAATAATAAAGTAGAGGGGGGGAAAAAACACTTCTAGCTTTAAAAGCTAGTTCTTGGTCAATCATGCGTGGGCCCGCGCACCGCGATTTGTAAACGTGACATTTTGACAAATGTCCGTGGTCAGTTTCACGTGGTCACAACAAGACAGGAAGACAAATGCTGAAGAAAAAAAACGTTGAAGTCACGCCTCAGACATCCTGAACAAATAATAAGACAGCTGGAAACGAGAGTGAACCGCCACAACGAAAGATGGAAGCAAAAACGTCTGCTTCAGAATTCTGTGTCACTTTACAAAAAATATGATATGTTTAAAAGCACACATGAACTTAGGATACGAGCCCTGTACAGCTATTTTCACCGTACATTGAGCATTTGTACGCTTTATATTTTGTTAACCTATTACTGACTACAAATGAAACTACTGTATGTTGCTATACGACAGCAGAAAAGACAGCGGAGTCACTGGTGTTCATTTATTACTGACATAACGCTGACATAACTTTGACAAGCACACCAACAAGTGTAGCCGAATATATTACAGTGTGGCTAAATACTGCATGGCACATACTGTGGTCTGAAACACGTTTAAAACAGCAGAAACAGCATGTGTTGTCAACTCGTTAAGGCAGTCTGGTAAAATTCTCCCAGCATCACAGTGTAAGCGGTAAACACGAACGATGAAACCACTTGCTGTAAGTGGAACTCATGTAAATATTGAACTTTTTGCATCTTTTAACTCACCCAAACTGTTGGTGGAGGAGTTCATAATCCCGTGTTTAACTGTAGGAAGTTTCTCAGACTCAAAATCCTGGTCAAGGAAGGTTTTCCATGCTGCGAGAGGAGTGTCACAAATCACGCATCTGGTGGTTTCGTTAAGTTAGCAGTAAGTTACATAGCTGCCGGAAGTTAAGTTGTTGTTTATAAAAAAAGTACCATTATTGTTTTTATATGTATCATTTATTGGAACGCAACAATCCAATGTGATGAAAAAATGCAAATATAATAACTGTATTTACAGCAGCCAAATTCTACTGGGCAGCGACAGACGTTTATTATGAATCAATTTCCGGAAGTCATTAATCCTAGCTTGACCAGTCCCAAAAAAAGACTAAAGAGGAATCATGACAAATGTCACATGTCGAAATGGTTCCCAGCAGTGACTGTGTTAGGAATACAGTAAATGAGAACCTATTGCGCAAACTCAAAAATCAAAATTATGTTCAGGGTTATATAAAAAACGACTGGCAACATCTTATAACTGTTTAATGTTTGACATATGAACGACAAACATAGTAATTATTTTAAAAACTACACAAACTGCTTGTGGTCAATCTGCTGTATCACAAAGAACAAATAAACTACCAACAAACTATTTTTTAACATATATTTAACATATCCTTATAAGAAATTGCATTAATTGTTTCAATAGATTTTATTACCACCAAGTGGTAGGGTTATGAACTGCAAACATATTCAATTTAGACAACTGTAATTATTGTTTTTAATTAAGTACAAGTTGTTTTGCTTTTCATATTCGCTGAATTCACAGTCAAAGAGCTTGGTCAGAACTTAAAGTCTTATAACCTTATGTTGTATCGTTCTTAATGTGTGAAAAATCATATTAAATTACAATTATTACATAGCTATACATTTAGCAGACGCTTTTATCCCAAGCGACTTACAATTTGAGTCAGTCAATCAACAATCAAGCTACAACAAACATACAAAATACAAAAATACATAACAAAATACAAAAATACATAAATTATAAATGATAAATAAATAGTAATGAATGGTAATAAATAATAATAAATAAAAAAATAGTAAAAGTACAGCTATCGTCATACAAATCTCCATGTCACTATGTAGCCTTTTTTCTTCTTCTGGGAACTGAAAGTCGGTTCACTTGTATACTGCATATTGAATATGAAATGGTTAGGTCCAGCATAGTCCATTTGATTTGAATTAATATACTGTAATACAGTGACATTTGGAGATAATTTCATAGGCTCTTGTACAAAAACACAACCGCTAAATGAACAATAACTGGAATATTGAATATATACAAAGAATTTAGTTTACTTTTAGATAGCAAATATATATTTGTTTGAGTAAAATCACAACGGCTCTATCCCAAATGTGTTAACAAGTACTGGTGTTTAAAAGAAAGTAGAACAATAATTGCGAGGGAAAAGCGGAACGTTTTATCGTCGGTTATATTTCTGTGTTCCGGGGGGAGACTTATCCTTGTAGAACCAGGATATTCGAGAGCCGCGGTCAACATGGCGGCCCCCGCAAGTGTTCTCTGAAGGAGATTGTTTTCTCTCTTAGTTTGTCGCTGTTGATGGTAGGCACTGTCTATTTAAATTGGCACATGTTTGAGTATTAGTAATTTTACCCCTTATATAGAAATATAATTATATTACAGGTATCGAGTCTTAATAGGCCTTTTACATGACGTAAAATAAACCTTATAAACACCGATGCCAATTAAATGTTTCATTATAGCTTGACTTATAAGTTTTGTTGTCACATGTTTAAATAAAAGGTAAACATAAATGGAGCCGCATATTTTTGCTGTATAAAAATAGAAAATATAAATGAAATAAGCAAATGGTCCTATAAAGTAGTCGTATCAAATTCATTTGTATTCCTAACTAATATATTAATTTCTTTTTGTGAATTTTGGCATTTTATGTCAATACTTTTAACTAGCTAACTTGACAGACAGAGCATGTAACTGCGTAGCTATGATAACGAGTCTGTAAACGAATGGTTAATAAATTAGTAATTCCTATTTATCTGCGATTTAAAACTAAAATGAAGACATGCATCTACAGACAACAGTAGACAAATCTAGTTGTGAGGTGACAAACCTAAACCAAACTTTTGGAACTATTTTTCTGTGCCTATATTACAAAAGTATTGTCCTAAATTACTGGACTTAAAATACTGTCGTGCATGTTGTAGTAATGGAAGCATACCACAAATCTTAAAAAATGTAGCCCACCCTCCCACCCCTTAAGATCAGAGTACCAGTAAATGTTTTCGTGTGGCATACTCAAGCCTAAACCTAAATGTAATTTTTTTTTAAATATATAAGTGGAGTAAACGTAGGCCTGAGGTCCACAAAACAAAAACTAGAATAAGAAGACACTAGAATAATGAGGATTTTAAAAGATTGACAGAATAAATAATAATAATAAGTATAATAACAGGAATAAACAAGGATAACTTCGACAACTTGTTCAACATTTCGGATGCCATCTGTATACTGGGATGTTAGCACAATGTGATATTTTAACTTTTTAAATGAATCATGTGAATTGTATTTAAATTGATGAGTTATTGGTTTCAATGCACTGATAGTAATAGTCTGTGTTCAGATGTAGATGTAGTTTTGCATGTTTTTCATGACAACCTAAATAATTGATAAATTCATTTCTGTTTTAATAACTCACTTTCTGTTCTTTTTTTTTTTCTCAAGCTCAGTGTGATTGATCAGCCATGAAGTGCTCCCGTTGCTTGTTACAGCTGTGGTCTCTCAGACCATTGGGTCAGTCTGCCTGGCCTGCAGCCCACTGTGTTTCTCAGCTCCAATCTGCTTCCTGTTCTCAGCCGACTGTATTATACCAGAGCCAAAACCAGGTACCTATACTCTCCATACACTGCATTCACTATAGCATTTAGCATCTAGGCAAAATGAAGTATTGATTATCTCTAACAGCAAATATTATTGGAAGGTGCACATTAGGGTGAAAATTAAATCTGATTGTCACACATTAATTATATTTTATATCAAAATTAATTATATGCTTTTAATGTAATAGTTTAATACACTTGTATATTTTTAAAACTGATCAATTAAACAGCATTTATAATGTTAGATTAAATAAAACACCGTAAATTCCATATTTATTTGTCGGCTTTAGGTGTTGCGGAGATTCCACAGCAGCCCGGTACGCACCAAGAGTCGCATGCCTGCTGAACAGCAGCAGAAGAACAAGTCACTGGCTACAATTGATGACATGTTCGAGCGGGTGTCCGACGACGCCAAAGTCAAAGACACGTTCAGTAAAGTGCTGGACGGCTTCATGAAGAGGGACGTGAGACGACGTGGACATGTGGAGTTTATATATGCTGCGTTAAAGAAGATGCCTGAGTTTGGCGTGGAGCGAGACATCACCATCTACAACAAACTTCTTGATGTTTTTCCCAAGGAGGTGTTTGTGGCCAGGAACGTTTTACAGCTAATGTTCAATCATTATCCCCGGCAGCAGGAGTGTGGGCTGCAAATACTGGAGCAAATGGAACAGTATGGTGGGTTATTCTGAGAGAATGTTTATGGTCTAATTTATTGGGGTTGTTTGGATTGCTTGCATTGATTACCGTAACTTCCGGACTATTGAGCGCAACTGAATATAAGACGCACTAAATTTAAAAAGGAAAAAAAAGTAATTGTACATATATAGGCCTTCTCTATAAGCCGCAGGTGTCCACATTGTAACGTGGGATATTTATTTACAGAGAATTTTTTTTTTCACTTTTAATTAAATAAGTGCTTTTTTTCGAAAGTGTTTTAACAGCTCCTGTATCACCAACTCCCTCTTCAACATGACAGGGCTCAAACTGCTCTCAACTTCAGCTACCGTCCTCTCTCTTGCGCTCCCCACGTACATATACTCACACAGCCAATCACAGACAGACATATGTTACTGGTATAACACACAGTAGCCTACCAGAAAAGTCATTGACCGCTAGCGGTATGAAATTTGTTAGCCTGTAAAAATCCATAAATTAGCCACATCATTGTTTAAGCTGCAGGGTTCAAAGCATGTGGAAAAAGTAGCGGCTTATAGTCCAGAATTTACAGTAATCTGAAGATACAGACAGTATCAGGGCTGCGCTATCCTTGTTGTACTGTAGGTGATACAGTACATTTTTAATATCTATTAACCACTGCTAGCAGTTGTAGGAGGACAGAATTGTATATTCAGAACAGGTTACTACTCACTAAATAACAAAATAATCAGACTATAACGTATCTTCAGAATTTCTTTTTTTTTTTTAACATCACCTTCTATGGTTGTATTTCAGGTGTCGTACCCAACATCGAAACCAAAGTCCTGTTGATCCAGATCTTTGGAGAGAAGAGCCACCCCGTCAGAAAGTATCAGCGCGTCATGTACTGGTACCCCAGGTTCAGACACATCAATCCATTTCCACTTCCCCAGAAGCTGCCCGAAGACCCGGTAGAACTCTCCCACCTCAGCTTGTCTCGTATCGCCAATGACCTGAGCGCAAAGATTACAGTTTACCAGGTACAGACGTAGGGCCGAGGGTCTGGTTTTGATATCGTCTGTTTAAAGTTGCACCTAGAGGAATCTCAATCTAAAAAAAAAAAAAAGATGGGGGACCACCCGCTCATTGAAGGGCCCGAGGTCAGAGGTCGATGGGGGACCACCCGCTCATTGAAGGGTCAGAGGTCAGAGGTCACATCATAATTTAGGATATAAAAAGATCAGCTTGAGCCTTAAGGAAGAGCAAAAAGTTGCCAGTGTGTGTTTGTGTTTGGAATGCTCTCATTCATTGTCCTTATCAGAGCCTATGTCTGTGCCAACTGTAACATGAACTGAGTGTTTTGATTTCCCTGCCCTCAGCGTCCACGTACGGATGTCGGTGAGAATGGAGAGGAAATAACATCTCCGCACATTGTAGGTACGGAAAGAACCAGTTTGTGTTTGTTCGAATCTCCTAGAAAGTACTGGGTAGAGGGTAGAATACAAATACTTTTTACACTGTTTTTTTCTTTCTTGGTTCCCTAATCATTTACTTTATTACTATTTATTTGTTCATTTATTTGCTCAGATACTATTCTTTGATATGTTATAGTATAATATATCATACCATACTGTGCTATAGATTATACTTTACTATATGTCTACCATATTATACTATACCAGGCATGGGCAAGCTACGGCCCGGGGGCTGGATGCAGCCCGTTTGGCTTTTTAATCTGGCCTGCCTTTTCCCTGCAGTGCCTGCATTTCCCCAATTGATGGAGTAGAAAAGGCTAAAAGCATTTTAGCATTTTAGCATTTTAGCCTTCATGCATGACTTCAATTGTCTTAGTTCATACTCCATCTATCTGCTCCTGACCCGACCCCCCCTGGCAAATTTTAGGGCCCGCAGGTTCAAAAAGTTTGCCCACACCTGTCCTATACTGTATATTTACCATACATCCCTAGTATACTGTAATGTACTGTACAATACTATTGTACTATATATATATATATACATATATATACACATATACACATATATATACACATACACATATATATACAGTACATATATATACATATATATTAAGATACTATACTGCACTATGTACAGTATACATAGTGTAGTATAGTAGGTATAATCATGATATAGTACATTGTATACTATATATTTACTATATTTTGTGCTATACACTACAGTATATAGTTACTTCTACTCTCTGTACACTACCTATACACTACAGTATATAGTTACTTCTCTCTGTACACTAGGCATTTACTTTATTGCTAGTGGATGAACACCATACATCGTCATTGGTCAGTTGTTATACTATACTATGTTAAACAATACTATAAATTTACTTCACAATACTATACTATGCTATACAAGTCGAAACTACAGAGATAACAGCTTGTATCTAAGCTTGTTCTCTAAAATATAAGGTACCGGGCACTTTGTTTAAACACATGAGTTTCCCCTCACTGGTTTTCCTGTACCATCACTAGGTATTCAGAGTCCTGACCAGATGGAGCTGCTGGCCAAGCACAACCCAAACAGACCGGTGTTTGTGGAGGGTCCCTTCCCTCTGTGGCTGAAGAAGAAATGTGTGCACTACTATATCCTCAGAGCTGACCCCATACCTTTTGAAGAGAAAGTGAGTGCACTCTTTCTTTTTTTTTTTTTTTAACCTAATTACCGTGTTCGCAATGTGCTATACATCATTGATTTTCTAAGGGCTATTGGTGGAGCTAAAGTCAATTTTGATATAGGGTTACAGTCTGCGGCAGATACAGCTAACACACAGTGATCGGTTTGTACTGCATCTGATTTAGCATCTGACTATATACAGTGGACCCCTGAGATACGAGCTTCCTGAAATCTGAGTATTCCATGTTACGAGTCTGCAACTACTGCAAGACAACTAGATATTTCCTCGTATCACAAGGAAATATCTAGTTGTCTAGAGTCTAGGCTAGAGTGCTCGACCGAGTCGTGCGACATGGGGAAGCCGCGAGCTCTGATGCCAAAGCAGCTGCGGAGTTCGAACGAACTTTTAGTGTTTAATAAAATAAAATAACAACTATTATATAACAATTATAACAGTAATATAAAATGTTGTTTTTAATGATTATTAATATTTTATATTGTCAATATATTTGTTTATATCTGTGTTTTTATCTTTAGATGGGGGGATATTAATAGGATATATTTCTGGGGGCGGGAACAAAATAGTTTTTAGTTATTTATGTATATATGTATATATGTATGTATATATATCTAGGTATATATATGTATGTATATATACATAGATAGATGGATAACAAGATAAATATAGATATATACACACATATACATATGTAATATCTATATACACATATACTGTATTTGTGAGCTGTTATTATATATATATTCAAAAAGCTTGCAGTTTATATTACTAATACATACATTTACCTTTACTGTAAATCAGTGGACTTACTGTTATTGTGTCACAGTGGGGAAAAAAATCACACAGTTTGTATCTTTATCAAGGCCGTTCAGGACATTTTTAAACTTAAAAAGTCACTTCATGATAAGGTTGTTTTCTGTAACGAACCAATGAAATGAGTTCGTCTCCACAACAGGTGGAGGAACCCTATGATCCAGAACGGAGTTTTTTCTACCCTCTACAGTTAGACCTGGATCTCGAACGTGACTTTGGAGAGTACGTGACCTTTGACGTTGAAGACGGTAAGGAGTCAAACGCTGCTGTTGAATGAATTCCAATCACTCACGGAGGTGTAATGTAGTTCATGTGTGGTTCTTCAGTGGACGAGGGCCCTGTCTTTGCCATGTGCATGACCGGTCAAGGAGACCAGGTGGCGCTAAACCAGTGGATTTCTGGTCTTCAGCTGAACAATCCTATCCTGGGTCGGGTCCCCACCTTATTCCGACTAAATGCCGGACCACGGGAGCTGCAGGAGTCAGGGGCGGGCTCCGCCTCAGAGAAGCAGAGAGAGAAACATCCGAATGAGGCAGAACCTGAGTTTATAGATGAAGAAGAGCCACAGAAAAGACAGGCAATGAAACCATGAACTTTGAATCACGACATGAAAGGGATGGAGGGAAAAAAAAAACATTCCTTTTAACTGCTAATTTAGGTAGATCTATTATGTGGACTTCATCAACATGTGCAAAAACAAATGTTGGGACGGTCAATAAATCGGAACAAAACTGAGCAGCTGTGATGAAGACTGTTTGTCACCATCTCAAATCAGCCAATCACATGCCAGCAGCGAGATTCATACATGGTTAGGGTGAAGGAAAGAGATGAGGGATCAAGGAAAGTGTTTCTGAACACGGATGAAATGAAAGAGGCAGTGAGTGTGAAAACAGAAGCTGGTCTGATAGTTGTTGATTTTTATACGTAATGTTAGAATAATAAGGTCAAAGAAATGGTTCTGCGTCCACATAGAAGTACGTACAGCACATTGCTAAAATGTCATCTTTGAGCACGTTTATCGCCCTGTGATCACAGTATAAACAGGCTTTATGTTGGCAGTCACGCAGGTATGAGCCATAGAAGGTTGCTCTGAAGCTTAAAGTGCAGTAGGAGTGGACCGAGAGGAAAAACCTGTTGTACGTAAAACGCTCTATTGTCTTAAAGTGTCATAGAAACGAATGTAATATCCTAATACACATACATATTATATATGTATATATATATTTATATATATACACATAAATGTATATACATATTTATATATTTATTTACGGTTTTTCATATGTATGTTTCTATTCATAGTTACATTTATGTATATATATACACTATATGTACATACATACATCTGTATGTATTTACATAGAGTGTGTGTGTTTGCAACTGAGGGACTGTCACGGGAGGCTCCATTAGGGATAAAGGGTTCCTCTATATACAGTATATATATATATATACATATATACATATATATATACTGTATATATGTATATATATATACAGTATATATGTGTGTGTATATATATATATATATATATATAT